GAACATGGTACCGTGAAGCTTTCGGGGTCTTTCAATTTAGGAGGGAGTTTGTTTTGTAGGATAGCGCTACACTCCTCCGTAAGGGCAATAGTAGCAAATTCTACCAACTTCTTTTTATTTGAGAGTGTGCCCTTCAAGAATTTGGCATAGGACGGAATTTCCGCTATAGCTTCGGCAAATGGAATGTTGATTCTTAATTTAGTAAAAATATCAAGAAATTTTCTATATTGAGCACCATCATTCTTTTTCTTCAACCTTTGAGGATATGGAATGGGAGGAACATAATTTGCCATGTTTTATGGTGGCATTATATGTTCCTCATGTTCACCTTCTTTTTGCTTTTCCGGGGTGTCCTCCTCTTCCGGCATGTTTGGATCTTCCGTTGTCTTACCACTCCTTGTGGTAATGACCATGGCATTTTCCCTTGGATTCATCTCCGTGGTAGTGGGGAATTTGCTTTGCTCCCTAGAACTTACTTTTTGAGCAAGTTGCCCCATTTGAACTTCAAGATTCCGAATGGAAGCCTTGGTGTATTGCTCAATGGTGTCGATGCGTTGGTTGAGCTTTATATTTTGATCTTCAAAACGAAGATCCAACTTGGTGAATTGAGAGTGGAGATTCTCAATGGATGCCTCCACTCTACTATGGTTTTCCTCATTTTGGGCCTTCATGCTTGCCATGCTTTTGGACATGAATTGCATCATATCCTCCATAGTGGTTTCTTTGGATTGCCCAAAATTTGATGCTCCGGATCGAGGTTGTGAGGAACTAGCTTGTGGCTTCCAATTATTCCCTTGGTTCCACCTTCGTTGATTAGAAAAGTTATTGTTCCCCCGATTCCCATAAGAGTTCATATAATTTACCTCTTCAAGATGTTGAGATAAATCACCTTCCGGGTTCGATATGCTTTCCACATTGGCTACTTGTTTAGCCCCTCCAATCACGGCTTGTAGAGCCGTGTGAATTGAAGCTTGAAGATCTTTGTGCATGGCTTGTTGAAAATCAGAAAACCGCTTGTCCAATTCATGAGCTATAGACACTTCACTTACACCGGCCACTTTGACATCTCCTCCTTGTAATTGAGGATTTGAAGCAATGGATTCAAGAATTCTTAATGCCTCCATTTCGGTTTTGTTGCCAATATAGCCCTCCGCACGATTATCTTCAATGGCTTGGCATGAAGAGTTCAAACCATTATAGAATGTGTCAATTTGAAGATCAAGAGGAATGCGGTGATGTGGGCATTCCTTCAACAAGGCCTTAAAACGCCTCCATGCATCTTGGAATAGTTCTCCAACTTGTTGTTTGAAGTTGAAGATTCGTTGTCTTAGCTCTTGAGTCATCGTGGGTGTGTAATACTTAGAAATGAAAGCATTATAGATACCTTCCCACGTTGTAAAACTCGCCGGTGTTTGCTCCAAGAACCATCCCCTTGATGCCCCTTTCAAGGTGTAGGGAAAGCTTTTGAGCTTGAGGTCGTCCTCGGAGAGACCATGCCTAGGAATTCCTTGGATGAAACCATATAACTCGGTGATGAAGTTAAGTGGATTCTCCCCCGGATGACCATGAAATTGAGGCATAGCATTGAAGTACCTATTCTTCATTTCATAGTCCCTTGCCGCCTCGCTTAGGACAATACATGAGGGAGTGGCGGCAACCACAGGTCTCTTCCTTTCGTTGAGTGTTGGCATCATTTTTGCTTCTTTTCTTTCTCTCCGGTTGTGTTTGAAAGTTCTTTCTATTTCATAATAAATTTGGCATTTTTTCCCAAATGACTAGAGGGTGGTGGTGCTGGGGCGGCAAAGGCGGCGGTGACAAAAAAATTTTTTTTTTTTAATTTTTTTAATTTTTTTTTTAAAAAAATTGTAATTTATTATTATTCAAAATATTTTTATTAATTTTTTTGGTATATTTTACGAATTTTTATTATTTTTTTTTATTTTATTGTGAATTAAAACATTCCAATAGGTATAAGGGTATATTTGTCCAAGACACATAATTAGTCTTATGGAAACATAATTTATTTTTTGGTCCTTAAATCTGTCCCAAGAGCCATTTTCAAATATGTTTGCCTTCTGCTTGGGTGTTTGGCTGCATATCTTCACCACTTAAAAAAATGTGTTGATCAGAATAAGTCCAAGGCATATAATACGTATTTTTTTTCTCATTTTGATTTTACTAAACATTAAATTTCCCAATCTTTTGATATAGAATATTTTATCATTAAGTTTAACACTTAATGTGTCCTTCACTCGCAAGTTAAAGATTCATTATAAAGTAATGATTAACACAAAGTGGAGTGCAAATCATTTGAGTAGTGAAACCCTAACCTGCCAAATTAAATATGAAACTAACTTATGCTTCCTGTTTTTCTTTGTAACTTGTGTTTTTTTTCAATTGTTTTGGTAGCTTGCACCCTCCAGTTCCCTTCTGTTGTTCAGCCGCCTAAAGAAAAAAACAAAAGTTTAGTAGAGAAAAAAAAAATAAAGATGATATCTTTTTGTCAAAAAGGCTATGCTTACCTCTCTAGAGACGCAAACATATTTCACAGACTCCACACGAACCATCTCTAGGAAGAATTAAAAATTGTTTAGCAAAGCATTGATGCACTTTAGAATGAAATAACATATAATGGTCTACACTTATTAAATTGATAATAGAATTTCATTCTTTATAGAAAGTAATAGACTTGAAACTAAAACCAAATAAAAGCATCAAGTTTTAGAAATAGAAATATAGTTAAGAACTTTAAATGGTGTGAAACGATTGATATAATGGCATCACATCGGAACCTCTCAATTGGTATTACAAACACCCTTTAGCAGTTCAGTCATGATTAGGGGTCGTGGGATAAGAGAAATAATAAATTGAGGTATTCACCTTACTTAAAAGTTGGTTTTGACTCATCACTCTAGATCATATAAGAGGCTAGGACCTTGAATATTAATACGCCCCGCGGTCCCTATATTCACATTATGCATATTATAAATTCACTGCCCCAGGTTGTCTGCTACCCTAACCCCACACCCATGCTCACATAGTTTTTTTTTCTCAGACACCCATGGACATTTCAATTTAAAAAAATTTCGTTTTTTCTTTATTTTTTTATAAAAAATTACAAAAAAATTCCTGGTTTGTTAATATATTTAATAAGTTATGTTAAAGTGATCGATCAAAGTGGTATTGTTTACCAAAATATAGTAAGTTTTTTGTTAGAAAGAAAGCTTGCAGCGGTTAAAACGCTCCTCGTTTTGTATTGTTTATTGTTGAATGCTCAAACAGCACTATAGTGTAAGAGGCTATTCATATTGTATGTAGTCAGATTATTTTTCAAACAAATGGTTTTTCAAGTTTAAATAATAATGATAAAGAGGGTTTGTACAATAAGATTGTTTAAGTGTTACTTCTAACAATTTAGTATAAAGGAAATGTTACTCAAGTGTTATATGATAGTTTATTACATAATAGCTGTGTATTATTATGATTAAAAAGTTATGATAGCTGTTTATTAAAAATTACTATTAAATATTTAGAAGTAAGCAATGGCTATTTATTTTTTCTAATTTCTAAATGATTAAAATATTAATCTACCCCGGTCGTATTAATATTCGAGGTCCTATCCTTAGCTGAACTAGGCTGACGTGTCCAAACAAAGTTGTAATAGAGATGGATACCTCAAGAATTTATCATTTATTTGATCCCATTTCCCATGTACCTTAAAATTAAACATTGATTGTTCGTTTTATATTTTTAGCAATATCAAGTATTTTTTAGTAAACATAACTTGCCTAGTTTCCTTGTTCTTCCGCTCCTCTCTCCTAGCATTATAGAGTCACATGTTTTCTTTAGTAGTCACATGTTCGTTGTTACTACATTCGTATTTGTTTCCTCTCCTCTTTATTTTCTTTTAATTTTGAATTTTTTTGATTTACCAAACATTTTGAGTTTTTTACTTTTAATAAACAGGGTTTCTACAATAACTCTGTTTAAGTTTTTTAATTTTAACAATTTTGTATAAAAGAAATGTTTGTCGTGTTTTACATGATATTTTGTTACATTATACCTATGTAATGTATATGATTAAAAATTTATCATAACAGTTTATTATAAAATTACTATTAAATGTTCACATTAGTATTGACTATCTATTTGTTATAATTTTACAAAAAAAATAAAAATTACTCTACCACGGGCGTATTAATATTGAAGGTCTAAAGCCTCTACGATGATCTAGAATGACTGGTCCATACCAAGTTCAAAGTAAGGTGGATACCTCAACAATTATTCGAATGACATTGCAGTTTTTTGTTTCTAAATCATAGCCATTTTGTTCATTTCCACCCTCCGACCATTATATTATATTCAGTTGACCCTTTCTGTATGTGCGGAAAAAAATTGCCACGGATTGTTTACAGGAAAAATAATTTCTGCTATTGTTATAAGATTACAACAAAAATGAGCAGTGACTTGCTTCAAATTTTTAATATTTTCTGTTTCTGCCATGGTAATAAGGAGATGGTAAAAATGGGCGGTAGCTTGCTTCATACCTGCTCTAAATTTTTAACCCGAGTAGTACTAAAGTTCTTTTACCCAACTTTTTTGCCTCAAAATGTGTAAAGCAAGAATCCCAGGAAGAATATCAGATTCTCTCCTACGTGTAGAGTTCCAAATCATTATTATTTTGGATAATGTCTAGATAAGTCTAGGCGAGACCATTGCGTGGCATGTATAATAGTAATAAACCTTTCTGGCATTTAGAATTAATTAAATACCGTATGGAAAAATATAATATGCAAATTGAAGTAAGTTCTTTAAAAAAATGATCTAAAATTACAATACCAACGTGAAAATTATACACATACTTTATGCATTTTATTTTGGTACACTATTTGTGTGTATATTGATGGGCATGTCTAAAGCGTGATTGAAGTCATAAATATTTAGTTTTTGGTTGTTAATATATAGCAAGCACATCACTGCGGTATAAACATGGTATTGCCCAACAATGACCCACCTGAATCCAGTGAAGCGGCAAAAAATCGAAAAAGAAGGGAGCGATATGCGTCAAATGAAGAACGACGCGCACAAATAAACTCACAGCGAAGAATTGCCTATGCAACAATGGACCCAGAAAAAAAGTGCAAAATGCTAGACGAAGCCAATAAAAAACGTAGCGCCGCATATCATGCGTCCAAAGCCTTATCCAACCAACGTCTTCCCCTTGGTATTACGTTGAACGTATATTCACTCATACAACTGTCCTATTCCTTCAAAAACCTGATTCGTTTTTCTTTTCCTTTCCTCAAATGTATGTACTATGATACACCACAGGCAGCACATGTGCAAATTTTGTCAACAAACAGCAGGGTGGCGAATTTTCCTGGTGATACAAGTGTCACACAATCCTTGATTCCCACATATAACATGTCACTTCCCTCAGAACCTTCTCTGCTTAAACAATGTCTACCGTGCCACCATTGTGGGGCCGTGCGCATTCAATACGAATCACCGGGATTTTGTTGCTCAGCTGGTCAAACTGTTTTGGTATCTAACAAGATTCCTTCAATCTTGAAACGATACTTCTATGATAATGATTCTGTAGCTCGCCAATTTAAGGCATGTGTACGCACATACAACAACACGTTTGCCTTCACATCTCTAGGCGTACACAACTACGACAGAGATTTGGCACGAAGGAATAAGGGCATATACACATTCAAGGTACATGGTCAAATGTATCACTTCATTAATGATTTGATACCTAACAACGATCGACCTAAAAACCTGTAACTATATTTCTTTGATATGGATCACGAGGTCCAAAATAGAGTGGACGGAGCAGAAAGGATGGATAGTAGCATCATGAAGGACCTTATAACCGTTCTTGACAGCAACCCATATTCACAATTCTTTCGAAGCCTTAAAGATGTATCCAGCTTGGAAGATTGTAACATTATCATTCGATCAAACATAAAGGTGGATCAGCGACTTTACAACATGCCAACTGTGTCTCAGGTAGCAGCAATTTGGGTTGAAGAATCAGATGCCGTGGGTGAGAGTCAACGAGACATACGCGTGTACGCAAAAAGGGGAAGATCACATTATGTGCAATACTACTACAGTTGTTATGATCCATTACAGTACCCACTCCTTTTTCCCTATGGCGAGAGCGGTTGGCACGCTGGCATACCAAAACTTCCCAAACAGGTCGGCCCACGCACCAAGTCACGACAACCGACCATGCAACCAACGAGTGTGGCCTCAATATACATGTTGTTTGAGAGAGAAGCTCAAAATAATGTTGTTGCTAACAAAAGGGACAATGTGTCATGTCGAGAGTATTCTGCATACCACTTCCAAGTACGTCACAAAGATGAGTATATCGTTCTCCACTCCGGCAGACTCTTCCAACAATTTATTGTCGACATGTACATAAAAATAGAAACCCAAAGGTTGGATTACTTCAGAACCCAACAAAGAGACGTGCGAACAGAATGCCTCCAAGGTCTAATGGATAGCATAAGCGTTGGTGAAACAAAGGCATGCAATGTTGGGCAAAGAGTTATCCTACCTACATCTTTTATTGGGGGGCGTGACATGCGCAGAAGGTACATGGATGTTATGGCACTTGTACAGCGGTATGGGAAACCAGACATTTTCCTCACCATTACGTGTAATCCAAACTGGCCGGAAATGAAGGAATTACTGAAGCATTCCGACGAAGCCCAGAATAGGCCAGATTTGATTGCACGCGTGTTCCGTGCTAAAGTCGAAGAATTGAAAACAGAAATCATAAAGAAAAAAAAATATTTGGGGTTGTTGATGCATACACTTACGTGATTGAGTTTCAAAAATGCGGCCTTCCGCATGCCCACTTTTTGATTATATTGCGAAAGCAATATAAACGGAGGATGGGTGATGAAATTGATGCAATCATTAGTGCTGAAGTTCATGATCCTCGATGTTGTGAAGGCTGGCCGCGAGTTCTTGGATGCTGGCTTCCACCTAGCAAATCCTGACAACGAAACAATCACTCCAATAGCTAAAGTCCCTGCTATCATTCCTCAAGTATGTTGCTATTATATACTTTATTTCTCCCAATGCCTATATGACATGTTTTTTCTAATAACCATTTACACTGTAAAAAACATTGACGGCGTATGAAATAAATCACCCAAAAATTTATGTAACCCATGATATAAATTACTTCAAATCCATTACATTTCTGTGACTTATCCATTCTAATTTGTGTAATCCTTAAACACTGACAAGGAAGGCCTATTTGGATCAAAGGCACAATCACTTTGGTTTTAGAAAACTATACCCTCTGGTATGTTGCTTGTAGCCATTGTGCCAAATTAAAATACGTTGGCTGTGACGCAATATTTCACTACATGAATTGCGGTCAACAACATGCTTATGGCGTTCCAAGGCAAGTACGCCACTTGTATTACACCATACAACATAACTACACGTCATTTTTCTCAAAAAATCATATTACATCCTTCGCGTAGGGCCAAATTACATGTCACAATCGAAGATGAGACAAGATCTGTCAGTGGAATAATGTTTGGCTTGTGCGCTGAAAAGTTATTACTTATGACAAGCAGGCAAGTCATGGAAATAGAATCACAGGTAACATCATCCACAATACCGCTCAATTAAATTATCGTTTAATGAAACCAAATATATTTGTTTTTTCAATTTGTTTTTTACATTTGTTTACTATTGCCAAAAACATTAATTACATTGTAAAATTAATTTAAAATGTCACCCAAAGCTTTATTCACCAACTCTATGCCATAGATTTTTTAACAAAATCATCAAATGAAGCATAATCTCTTATGGAATTTGGGTCCTATAGAAATATGAATAGTATACACATTGTCATTTGTCAAAGTCTAATTTTCTACTAGATTTAAATGGTATATGAAACCACTCATTGAAATTCTTTTGTACTTGGTAGGGGAAAAAAGCTTCATTCCATACATAAACAAGCGACTTGCTAAGGAAGAGTACATAGTCCAATCGAGATCTTCGCAAGACAATTGGAGCTCAAAAAACAACAATCCTCGTAGTTCAAAGACATCTTATATCATAACATCTTTGCACGAGTCTTCATTGAACATAATAAAGATGGATGAAGCAAATGCTGCCAATCACACTGCACCCAGTGAAAGCACAAGCACGTCAAGTCCTCCAATGAAACACATCAAAACACTGTGACGGAGAGTACACAACCATCCAAACCATTCCACGCCTCACCAAACTGTGTTATTACATTCATGTATGTATGTATTTATGTATGTATGTGTGTATGTATGTGTGTATGTATGTGTGTATGTATGTGTGTATGTATGTATGTATGTATGTCTGTGTGTGTGTCTGTGTGTGTGTGTATGTGTGTGTGTGTGTATGTATGTATGTATGTATGTATGTATGTATGTATGTATGTATGTATGTATGTATGTATGTATGTATGTATGTATGTATGTATGTATGTATGTATGTATGTATGTATGTATGTATGTATGTATGTATGTATGTATGTATGTATGTATGTATGTATGTATGTATGTATGTATGTATGTATGTATGTATGTATGTATGTATGTATGTATGTGTGTGTGTATGTGTGTATGTATGTATGTATGTATGTATGTATGTATGTATGTATGTATGTATGTATGTATGTATGTATGTATGTATGTATGTATGTATGTATGTATGTACACACACACACACACACACACACACACACATATATATATATATATATGGGATGGTGCAAATACATAGACCTCTTCCCATGCAAAGTGAGAATGAATCTTGTGCATTCATTTCCACTTCTAATGGCTCAAAATGAGCCAAAAATGCACATAATTCGACCAAAATCGTGGTGGCATTTTCGTAAATATGTTGCATTTTTTCGTTACCGCGAAAAAGTGCAACAGAAACACGCAAAAGTGCAAGTGAAACATACAAAAGTGCATATCTTCGCACTTTGCACGGGAAGAGGTCTTTTTATTTGAACTCTTCCCTGTATACATATATATATGTGTGTGTGTGTGTGTGTGTGTGTGTGTATGTATGAAGAGCAATGATCATGTTGAGTCGGATGGAAAGATCTTCTGTTCGGCCGTCTTCGTTTGGGGTGGTTCCCGATAGAATTTTTTGATGATTTTATAACATGTTTTTGATGAAGTGTAAATTATGTCCACAAAATTCAAACTTAAAAATTCAATCGGGAAATAAGTTAAATATGTTATTGAGAAAAACTGCACCAAGCTATATACTCTTTCCGTCCCGCTAACAATGGGACAAGAGGGAGTGACACGCAAATTAATAAAAAGTGGTTTATGTAGTTGATATTGAATTGATAAAGTAAGAATAAAGTAATAATGATTTAGAGTCGCACAAACTTTACCAAATTTGGTATGGGACAATCTTAGTGGGACGGACCAATAAGGTAAAATGGGACAATCATAGCGGGACGGAGGTAATATATAAAAGCGCAATATTTTTCAATAATTTTTTTAATTGATTTTCCTATTGAATTTTAAGCTGAAATTTTGTGGACATAATGTATAATTCATGAACAACATACTCAAAAACTTTGTGCACATAATCCAAACGGAGGCGGCCGAATGAAGGATCATGCCCGCACGGCTGGACATGGTCTTTTTCCTAAATATATATGTATATATACACTATGTCCCATAAAAAAGTTCCCTTTTTGGTTTACGATGTTTGACTGACGATAAATAAAATCGATTCATGTTCGCACTCAGATTATTTATAGTAAATAAAATTTACATGTTCAAGTAAAATCATCCTTACTGAAAACTTTATGCCTGAAGCCTAAAGCTGAAATCCACAATGAACACCAAGGCTTGGCAAAATCTGATTTTAAAGGAAGAATTTTTGCTTGTGGTATATCAGTTTATGCACAATGAGTCCATGCTAAAAATCATAAATTTGGGCTACAGTTAAACGCTTGGTTTTGAATTACAATTCAAAATCTTATGTTTTAAGCTTAATTTAAAAATAGGATATTTAAATCAAATTAAAAGTTTAGGTATGAAGCATTGAAAATTTGCTACAATATCTCGATTCTGAGATAAACCAAGTGTGTAACAAATATAATGACAAATAAAATTAGATTTTGTGTTCAATGGAAAACTTACCTGTAAAGTGATGGATTGAGAAAATTGGAAAACACAATCAAACAACCCTTCAAATATCCGGGAAGTCTCTTCCGGAATTGAATTTTTGGAGATATGATGGGAGTTATGAGATGGCTGGCAGATGTGAATATATGAAGGTTTTTGTAGAAAGTGTCGACATAGAGCTTGGAAGGTTTTTAAGCAATTGGGAGTGTGTAGTGTTTGCTTAATCCGTATGATGAAGTGGTAGTGTGATAATGGGAAATTGGGGATGTTTTTTTGGGCAGGCCAGGTTTATATGATGGTTGGTTTTTCTTATGATTCGGTGTAATTTTTTCAAAAATTAGTGTAATGTAACAACAAAAAATTGAAAAACACAGAGTAATATTTCTTTTATTTTTACATCAAAATTAAACATATACGTAGTATATACAATGTGGAGTATATGTTATTTTTTACTACCTAATGTGGAGAATATATTGTGGAAATTCTTTATTGGTCCAATATGTCATTCCATGAAGTGATGTCACTAATGCTAATATAGTAGTTATGGTTTCATATACTCCGTAGTAGTTATGGAACTATTTTAATGTCACACATGCTTTAAGTAGTCTTAGTAATCATATTTTGGAAGCAAGACTTCTAAAGGAAACAAGTGTAGGAGAAAAAGTTTCATACCAAGAATGTCTTTTACTCCCTCAAATATGAAGCTACCTTTCAAGTTTCAAAAAAAGGATATCCTTTAATGGTTTCATACGTTATGACAATTAACAGGGCCGGCTTGACACATTACGAGACCCGGTGCGAATCACACAAATGAGGCCTTTTATTAAATAAAATGCATAGATCTAATGTGTAGACGTATAGTTTGCTTTTATTTGGAGTAGGGCCGTTCGGTGTATAAAGGTGTTTCAAAATGCAAATGGGATTCTATTAATAATTTAAACAATTACTCCCTCCGTCCCTAATAACTTTGTCATGTTTGACCGGCACGGAAAATAATACTCCCTCCGTCCCTAATCTTTCTCCCTTTTCGGTTGGGCACATTTATTAAGAAGTGGGATTTGTGTGGTGGAGAGTTGTGCAGAGGAGAGAGAAATGTGTAAGAATGTGTAAGAATGGTTGTGAACCACAAATTTTTTGGTAAAAGGGGGAAGAGGAGATAATTTTGGGACGGATGAAAAAGGAAAGTTTGAAGATAATTTAGGGACGGAGGGAGTAAAGTAAAAACTATGTAGTTGAGGTTTGTGCAGAGGAGAGAGAATGAACTGGAACCACAAATTCTTTACTTAAAAGGGAAAGTGGCAAAGATAGTGGAACATCCAAAAAAGGAAAGTTGGCAAAGTTATAAGGGACGGAGGGAGTACTTTATAGAGTACTCTTTCGGTCAGGAAATCCTGACCGGAACCGCCGTCCGGACAGCAGTGTTTGGGACCTTTCCTGGTGAATTTTTTTAATTAAATGTTTATGGCATGTTCTTCATCAAGTCTAGTTTATCCACAAAAAGGTTCAGCTAAAAATTCAATCGGGAAGGCCGTCGTATGATTTTTGAAAGATAACTGCGCTGGAATATACATATAAAACGCAGTTAACTTCCAAAAATTATTTGACGACCTTCCCGATTGAATATTTATCTGAATTTCTTCGTGGATAAACTAGATTCGATGAAAAACATGTCATAGAAATTTCATAAAAATAGTCAACCGGGAAGATGCTGAAACGCCACCATCCGGACAACGGTTCTGGTCCGGAGTTTCGAACCTGAATATTTCTCTACTTCATATACATATACTATTTAAATTTTAAAAAAATTGGCCTTCTATTTTTGGAGGCCCTGTGCAGTAGCCCAGCTTGCACAGCCTCATCTACGGCCTTGACAATTAACGAGAGTCAGATGCAATCGTTGTAAAATGTTGGTCTATTTTTATCGAAACAAGATTTCACTCATGGAGTCATGGTCAATTGTATGTAACTCTTTCACGTGTCACAGATTGTGCTAGATTGAAAATGCTCTTACATGACAAAGATGGTAACCATACCAATGTAACAAACAATGTTGTATATAAAGAAGTGTTTCAAAATTTGCAAAACATTCGTTTATTATATTTATATATTTGTAATTCAATTTGGAATTGTGAAAATTGATTTGATTGCAAACATGTTCGGAAATACAATTATCCAAAGAAAAATATGTGTCGTGCATCGCACAGGTACTATTTATTTATTAAGCTTTTTGTTCGTGCATCGCACGGGTGAGCTACTAGTTTTTTTTAAAACCGAAATACATAAAAACAAAAAATCTATTTGTTTAATAAATATATAATTTTGAAAATTTGAAAAAACTCACATAAAATTTATAAAATAAAAACCGAAAATGAAATCTTAAAATGAAAAACACCAAAAAATAAAACTTGTAAAAATTAAGGACCTGGGAAAAAACTTGTAAAAAAAGAAAATAAAATGTCTAATCCGTCATGAAGCAAAACAAAGCTAAAAGCAGAGCTCGGCTAATCCGTCGTTCTTCAATCTGTCTTCCGAATTAACTATCTCTCTCCACCAGAAAATGGTCGCTAAGAAGTTCTATGTCTGGCACCTTGGATCCACCTTCAACGTCTCTGTCCCTCCAATCTAGTTTGCCCTCCTTCAAAGCCCTCTCTTATAGATCCATCTTCAATCTTTTACGAGTAATTTCTTTTCATACGTGGGTGAATCTAACTCAAAAGTCAAAACTCAATTCCCTAAACAATTAAAAACAAATAAAGATAGCTGAGCTCTAGGATGGAGAAGCTGGGGCTTCGTGGTGGCACGAGTCTGAGGCAGATCAAAGGTGGATGCTGAGAATTGGAGGTGGATTTCCACTTTTAGTCCTCCAACTATTATGTCATTGACATTTTTGATACTCGACTTTGATTTTTTCTATTTTTAGTCCTTGACCATTGCGCTAGAGATACTTTTGGTACCGTCTTTGAAAATTTTCATATTTAGTCCTTCAACTTTTATAAAAGTGACACTTTTGGTCCTCCAACTATTATAATAGTGACATTTTTAGTCCTCCACTTATTGTTTTAAAATCATAATGAGAGGACT